CTGATTATTTTTTCTATTGAGAAAAAAATCCTCAGAGAACTGAGGCTGATTTTTTTTTTATATAGAGAAAAAAATCCTTAGAGAACTGAGGCTGATTTTTTTTCTATATAGAGAAAAAATCCTCAGAGAACTGAGGATGAGTTTTTTTCTATATAGAGAAAAAAATCCTCAGAGAACTGAGGCTGATTTTTTTTCTATATAGAGAAAAAAATCCTCGGAGAACTGAGGCTGATTTTTTTTCTATATAGAGAAAAAAAATCCTCGGAGAACTGAGGCTGATTTTTTTTCTATATAGAGAAAAAAAATCCTCGGAGAACTGAGGCTGATTTTTTTTCTATATTGAGAAAAAAATCCTCAGAGAACTGAGGCTGATTTTTTTCTATAGAGAAAAAATCCTCAGAGAACTGAGGCTGATTTTTTTCTGTAGAGAAAAAATCCTCAGAGAACTGAGGCTGATTTTTTTTCTATATTGAGAAAAAATCCTCAGAGAACTGAGGCTGATTTTTTTTTTGCTATAGAGAAAAAATCCCCAGAGAACTGAGGCTGATTTGTTTCTATATAGAGAAAAAATCCTCAGAGAACTGAGGCTGATTTTTTTCTATATAGAGAAAAAATCCTCAGAGAACTGAGGCTGATTTTTTTCTATATAGAGAAAAAATCCTCAGAGAACTGAGGCTGATTTTTTTCTACATAGAGAAAAAATCCTCAGAGAACTGAGGCTGATTTTTTTTCCATATAGAGAAAAATCCTCAGAGAACTGAGGCTGATTATTTTTTCTATATAGAGAAAAAATCCTCAGAGAACTGAGGATGAGTTTTTTTCTATATAGAGAAAAAAATTCTCAGAGAACTGAGGCTGATTTTTTTTCTATATAGAGAAAAAATCCTCAGAGAACTGAGGATGAGTTTTTTTCTATATAGAGAAAAAAATCCTCAGAGAACTGAGGCTGATTTGTTTTCTATATAGAGAAAAAAAATCCTCAGAGAACTGAGGCTGATTTTTTTTTCTATAGAGAAAAAAATTATCAGAGAACTGAGGCTGATTTTTTTTCTATAGAGAAAAAAATCCTCAGAGAACTGAGGCTGATTTTTTTTCTATAGAGAAAAAAATCCTCAGAGAACTGAGGCTGATTATTTTTTCTATTGAGAAAAAAATCCTCAGAGAACTGAGGCTGATTTTTTTTCTATATAGAGAAAAAAATCCTCAGAGAACTGAGGCTGATTTTTTTTCTATATAGAGAAAAAAATCCTCAGAGAACTGAGGCTGATTTTTTTTCTATATAGAGAAAAAATCCTCAGAGAACTGAGGATGAGTTTTTTTTCTATATAGAGAAAAAAATCCTCGGAGAACTGAGGCTGAATTTTTCTATATAGAGAAAAAAATCCTCGGAGAACTGAGGCTGATTTTTTTTCTATATGGAGAAAAAATCCTCAGAGAACTGAGGCTGATTTTTTTTCTATAGAGAAAAAAATCCTCAGAGAACTGAGGCTGATTTTTTTTCTATAGAGAAAAAAATCCTCAGAGAACTGAGGCTGATTTTTTTTCTATAGAGAAAAAAAATCCTCAGAGAACTGAGGCTGATTTTTTTTCTATAGAGAAAAAAATCCTCAGAGAACTGAGGCTGATTTGTTTTCTATATAGAGAAAACATCCTCAGAGAACTGAGGCTGATTTGTTTTCTATATAGAGAAAAAATCCTCAGAGAACTGAGGCTGATTTTTTTCTATATAGAGAAAAAATCCTCAGAGAACTGAGGCTTATTTTTTCTATATAGAGAATAAATTCTCAGAGAACTGAGGCTGATTTGTTTTCTATATAGAGAAAAAATCCTCAGAGAACTGAGGCTGATTTTTTTCTATATAGAGAAAAAATCCTCAGAGAACTGAGACTGATTTTCTTTATACAGAGAAAAAATCCTCAGAGAACTGAGGCTGATTTTTTTCCTATAGAGAAAAAATCCTCAGAGAACAGAGGTTGAATTTTTTCTATAGAGAAAAAAATCCTCAGAGAACTGAGGCTGATTTTTTCTATATAGAGAATAAATTCTCAGAGAACTGAGGCTGATTTGTTTTCTATATAGAGAAAAAAATCCTCAGAGAACTGAGGCTGATTTTTTTTCTATAGAGAAAAAAATCCTCAGAGAACTGAGGCTGATTTTTTTTCTATAGAGAAAAAAATCCTCAGAGAACTGAGGCTGATTTTTTTTCTATAGAGAAAAAAATCCTCAGAGAACTGAGGCTGATTTTTTTTCTATAGAGAAAAAAATCCTCAGAGAACTGAGGCTGATTTTTTTTCTATAGAGAAAAAAATCCTCAGAGAACTGAGGCTGATTTTTTTTCTATAGAGAAAAAAATCCTCAGAGAACTGAGGCTGATTTTTTTTCTATAGAGAAAAAAATCCTCAGAGAACTGAGGCTGATTTTTTTTCTATAGAGAAAAAAATCCTCAGAGAACTGAGGCTGATTTTTTTTCTATAGAGAAAAAAATCCTCAGAGAACTGAAGCTGATTTTTTTTCTATAGAGAAAAAAATCCTCAGAGAACTGAGGCTGAATTTTTTTCTATAGAGAAAAAAATCCTCAGAGAACTGAGGCTGATTTTTTTTCTATAGAGAAAAAAATCCTCAGAGAACTGAGGCTGATTTTTTTTCTATAGAGAAAAAAATCCTCAGAGAACTGAGGCTGATTTTTTTTCTATAGAGAAAAAAATCCTCAGAGAACTGAGGCTGATTTTTTTTCTATAGAGAAAAAAATCCTCAGAGAACTGAGGCTGATTTTTTTTTTCTATAGAGAAAAAAATCCTCAGAGAACTGAGGCTGATTTTTTTTTTCTATAGAGAAAAAAATCCTCAGAGAACTGAGGCTGATTTTTTTTCTATAGAGAAAAAAATCCTCAGAGAACTGAGGCTGATTTTTTTTCTATAGAGAAAAAAATCCTCAGAGAACTGAGGCTGATTTTTTTTTCTATAGAGAAAAAAATCCTCAGAGAACTGAGGCTGATTTTTTTTTCTATAGAGAAAAAAATCCTCAGAGAACTGAGGCTGATTTTTTTTCTATAGAGAAAAAACTCCTCAGCGAACTGAGGCTGATTTTTTTTCTATAGAGAAAAAAATCCTCAGAGGACTGAGGCTGATTTTTTTTCTATAGAGAAAAAAATCCTCAGAGGACTGAGGCTGATTTTTTTTCTATAGAGAAAAAAATCCTCAGAGGACTGAGGCTGATTTTTTTTCTATAGAGAAAAAAATCCTCAGAGAACTGAGGCTGATTTTTTTCTATAGAGAAAAATATCGTCAGAGAACTGAGGCTGATTTTTTTTCTATAGAGAAAAAATCTTCAGAGAACTGAGACTGATTTTCTTTATACAGAGAAAAAATCCTCAGAGAACTGAGGCTGATTTTTTTCTATATAGAGAAAAAAATCCTCAGCGAACTGAGGCTGATTTTTTTTCTATAGAGAAAAAAATCCTCAGCGAACTGAGGCTGATTTTTTTTCTATAGAGAAAAAAATCCTCAGCGAACTGAGGCTGATTTTTTTTCTATAGAGAAAAAAATCCTCAGCGAACTGAGGCTGATTTTTTTTCTATAGAGAAAAAAATCCTCAGCGAACTGAGGCTGATTTTTTTTCTATAGAGAAAAAAATCCTCAGCGAACTGAGGCTGATTTTTTTTCTATAGAGAAAAAAATCCTCAGCAAACTGAGGCTGATTTTTTTCTATAGAGAAAAAAATCCTCAGAGAACTGAGGTTGATTTTTTTTCTATATAGAGAAAAAATCCTCAGAGAACTAAGGCTGATTTTTTCTATAGAGAAAAAATCCTCAGAGAACAGAGGCTGATTTTTTCTATAGAGAAAAAATCCTCAGAGAACAGAGGCTGATTTTTTCTATAGAGAAAAAATCCTCAGAGAACAGAGGCTGAATTTTTTCTATAGAGAAAAAATCCTCAGAGAACTGAGGCTGATTTTTTTTTGCTATAGAGAAAAAATCCTCAGAGAACTGAGGCTGATTTTTTTTTGCTATAGAGAAAAAATTCTCATTTAACTGAGACTGATTGTTTTTTTCTATGGAGAAAAAATCCTCAGAGAACTGAGGCTAATTTTTTTTCCTATATAGAGAAAAAATCCTCAGAGAACTGAGGCTGATTTTTTTCTATATAGAGAAAAAATCCTCAGAGAACTGAGGCTGATTCTTTTCTATATAGAGAAAAAAATCCTCAGAGAATTGAGGCTGATTTTTTTTTTCTATATAGAGAAATAATTCTCAGAGAACTGAGATTGATTTTGATGAATATAGATTTTATAATTTCGAATAAAATTGGATATAAATGTTCGATTTTCTTATAATTTATCCCATACCAATATTTTTATCTGAATTAAATGAAGTATGAAAATTCGGTCGACTATATTTAAATTATCCTATATCTCATATAAAGTGATGAGGCACATTTTGGACGAATCAAATGTAGCCAAATAATATTTTTGAATGATGACAAATACCCGATCTATGATGAGAGCATTTCAGTTTGTGGTCTACGTCCAGAGTCTCGTTCTAAATATAAAAGCAAACCGAAATATGTTTGGACGCAATGTATTTATTTACCTAGGGAAGTGTCAATGAATGATTTTATGCAACTTCCCACTTAGTGAATTATCTCATATTTTCATTTCGAATTATCGACCACCAAAAACCAAATCAAAAAATCAATATGCAACTATTTTTTGGACAAAAGAGAAAATCAACAAAACACCATCATTTTTTTGCAATTTGCTGCTAATTAACCAAACCCTGCAATTTTAATAACAATTTTTGGGGGAAGATACAATTTTTGGGGGCTCTCTATTCCAATTGCAATGAGCGTGAACTTGTGTGAAGGTTTTGCTTCAGTTTGCATTCATCTACATTAGAAAGATAGGGGAGCCGGGGGAGGGGAGAATTTCATTCAAAATTTTTTCTTAAAAATATTTTCTTGTTTACTTTGATTTGTAGTATAAATGCATGGTTTGATAAGAAATTGCAGATCAGTTTTCAACGAGCATCGATTCGAATACGACAATTCGAAATTGAATTACGAAAAATCGGAAGCATGAAGCTTTTTATATCATTCACAATTGCCCTGGTGGCCTTGGCAGCCCCCTCTCAGGCATTTTTCGACATTTTTGGACCTTCCAAGGAAAGTGATTATGGCAAAAGCTATAGCACCAGCTCATCATCGGGCTATAACTATAATCGCCCCGTATGGACGGGTTATAGCAACAATAATGGCTGGGGTCAACAAACCTATGGCTCGGGATACAATGGTGGCAATTCTCAAATTGTAAAAATTATCAAGGTAATTGAGCAACCCTCCACAAACTATCAAACAAGATATGCCACAAGTGGGGCAGCTTCAGCTTCGACAGCAACTGCTTCGGCGGGAGTTGCAACATCAGCGTCATCATACGGTTGGACACCAATTTCGGCACCAGCGGCCGTACCAGCCCCGGCTCCAGTCCCAGTGCCTGCCCCAGCACCAGTCACAAATACCAAACAAATTCTGGTTACCGTAGCACGTAGTCAAGCCCAGCCTCAACCACTGCAACAAGAACAACGCTCTTATGTACAACAATATCAAACACCCATTGTATATCCAGCTCCACCTAGGCCAACTCAAGTCCAACCCATTCAGGTCACAGTTCAAAGACCAATTTCTTATCCTGTCCAACAGCCCGTTGTCCAACGGCCAATCTCTTATCCCGTACAAACACCCGCCGTTCAACAACCCCAACCAATTCCCTACAACGTGCAATCGCCTCCTCCATCATACACAACAACCGAACAAGTTCAGGTGCAACCCATACAATTGACCATACAAAAAACCAACTCCTATGTTACACAGGCAACTTCTGTTCAAACTCCTCCAACAACACAACAACAAGTTCAGACCATACCATACACTTGGCAGAGATCCATTCAAACTTCGGTACAACAACCTCAACCTCATGTGCAACCCATACAAGTTACAGTTCAAAAGCAAAGTGAAACGCAATATCAACCTCAAATCTCAACCTCATGGCAATCTTCGGTCCAACAAGCCTCTGTGCCACAACCTCAGGTGCAACCTATCCAGCTGACTGTACAAAAACAAAGTGAAACCGAATACCAACCTCAAGTCTCAACATCATGGCAATCTTCTGCCCAACAAGCCTCCGTGCCACAACCTCAAGTACAATCTATCCAAGTTACTGTACAAAAAGAAAGCGAATCTGATTATCAATCTCAAAGCTCTGGAGCTTGGCAATCGTCTGCTCAATCATCAGCCACGGTACAACAGCCTCAAGTCCAGCCCATTCATGTTACTGTACAAAAAGAAAGTGAGTCTGAATACCGCCAAGCTCAACTCCCAACTGCCTGGCAGAGTACTGTTCAAACTTCCGTGCAACAACCTCAAGTTCAACCCATTCAGGTGACCGTTGAAAAACAAGCTGACACGGAATATCATCAAACTCAAGTTCCAACGGTCACACCAGTCGAACACAACGTTAAAACCGTACAATTGGTTGTAGAAAATGCTTCAAACGATGCCCATGTGCCTGCCTTGACTTATGGACCACCCCAGGTTGATTCAAATGCTGCTGCCTGGAATAACGAATCCTGGAATGATAATAGCCATTATGCCGATACCCACACTTCTGGATGCTAGACGAGTTTTTTTTTCGAATAGTTATATTTAGCCTAAAGAGATTCGATGTAAATATGTATGTACATATGTAAATTTCGATAACAAGTTATTTAATACTTAAATAAAGTTTAAATCTGTATTTATCAAATCGCGATGTCTGAATCGAAACAACAACGACAAACCCCATTTTCAATACCAAATCCCCGAAACTTTCAAACGTTTTTCTTGAATGAATAAAAGAGTAAAGTAGTTGATTGACTGACTTAACGATTCGTCAACGCCCAGACGAAACGGCTGAAGCTAGAATCTTAAAATTTAGGGTGAGGGACACTCTTGGTCCAAAAGGGTCAGATAAGTCTGGGTTATTGGAAATTCGTATTAGAACGGTACAAAAATATTAAAAGGTTCAAAATATGGTACCAATTGTATTTTTAGAAGCAGTATAACACTTACATTTGGAATGAGGGACACTGATGGAGTGTACAGGGTGAGAGAGAAAAACTGCAAACAACTTCAGACTGCTGTCATTTCTAAGCCACTCGTCCGACAGCTGTTAAAATTATTCCAGTGACAGCTCATTATATTGTTTATAAGGGTACAAAAGCATTTTGGTGGGAATATTCCAGAAAAAAAGTTATTCGTGATGGAATTCAAGCGTGATAGTGTGATTTCTTTATATTTGGCCGGAAAACCACAAGTGGCTATTTCAGCATTTAAATGTGAATAAATCTTTTGTGTCTCGTACCATCGCTCGTTACCGTGATACTGGTAGCGTAGCCCGACGTCAAGGAAGTTGACGGAAGAAAACAACAACATCAGCAGGTATGGTTCGAAAAGTAAAGAAGCTACTTTATTAAAACCAGCGTCGCAGTGGCCGAAAAAGGGCTCGTAAGCTGAACATATCGCAATATTCCATTCGGCGAATATTGAAAAATGAGATCGGGATAAAGCCATTGAAATTCCAAAAAGTGCAAGAACTTACATCACAACTGAAGGAAAATAGATTCAAAAGAGCTAAAGAGTTGCTTCTCTTGGCCGAAAGAGGTGAACTGCCGAATTTAGTTTTCTGCGATGAGAAAACATTCGATGTCCAGCTGTTTGTAAACAAACAAAATTATCGTGTTTACTTACCAAAGAGGTCAGCTGAAAATGTGCACCTTGGGTTGGCCACCAGAACTCAAGCGCTGGCCATGGTGATGGTGTGGGCCGTCATAACAGCCGATGGTCGCTCTCCGCTCGTATTAATCGACATCAGAATAAATGCCGAATATTATGGTGAAAATATTCTGGAGGGTGTATTAAAGCAATGGGCAAGCAAACATTTTGGCCGCAGACCTTGGACATTTCAACAGGACTCAGCCCCAATGGGGGTTCCTCGCTACATTTCCAGGGCACAATGGCCACCAAAATCTCCGAATACCAATTCGTTGGACTATTGTATTTTGGAAAGAAAAGTTGGCGCCAAAAAAATTCCAAAGTGTCGATCACCTCAAGCAAGCGCTTCGCCGGATATGGGCCAAAATACCGGAGAGTATCATTCGGGCAGCGTGTGACGGTTTCATTGGACTTTTGAAGGTTATAATTCATGCTAAAGGTGACCAATTCGAACAAATCTAAACTTATTCTAAAATTTGATGCTATTTTCGACATTTTTTGCTTTTATTCAATAACATTTAAAAACAAATAAGCAAAGGCTATATTCGTGCGGGGCCGACCATGTGATATACTACAACACTACAATATGTTAGAAGTCCACTCATGTCCAAATCCATTTTGGAAGATTTAGCTTTTGAAATTATGTCACGGAGCACTGCCCAGATATTACCCTTAGCATTTTGACCAGGGACATTTTCCCAATATTTATGCACTCCGTAGTGCTGTTAGTTTTTGTGGTCCATTTTACGGCTAAATGCCAGAATTCTTCCTTGTGCTTAACTATCATCTCATGCGTGTTGATTGGCTTCAATTGTGTGATCAGGATTTTTTTCTGTTTTTGGTTCATTTGAACCCCTAAATATTTTGCGATCATCTCCAAGAGGCCCCTCTGTGTCCAAAAATTTGGACTCATCTATATGATTTGCTTGTCTACGACATTTGGCTATATTCGTCAACGAAATCTGCATAAAAAAGCCAGAAGTTCGCCTATTGTGTATTTCGGATATCGCCTGTAAGTAATGTTGGCATTTTTTCACACAAAAGTTGTGGTCCATTCTACCCGCTGTCTTAAAATCTAACTTCAGGCGGGATTTCGTGTCCTTTGGTTTCTATTTGTGACCTTTACAACGGATGCAAAATAGGGAACATTTTTAGTTGCTGGTCCATATCAACCCCTAAATATATCGCCGACATCTTTGAAAACAATAGGCTTAGCCCTTCTGAGCCTAACCCTACCTTTGTGAAAATTTTCGTCAGGATCGAACGATAAATGCAATCTGTATATAAATAATAACCCCAACCTGTCAGAATTGACCTGCTCGCCTATTTGTGATTTCGCGGGGACTAAAAATATTCGCGGTATAATGGAAATTTGACTTTTATTTAACACAAATGTTATAGTATTTTTCACCCACTAAATATTACCCGATGACCATCAAAAAAGGAAGACCTCTGCCCAGCTCTAAGCTCTAGCCCCATGCTAACTTTCGCTTTCGATTGATTTATAATTATGACCTGTAGAGAAACTGCAACATCAGGAAAATTTTCAACTTTTGGTCCATTTCAACCCCTAAATATTATGCGATCATCTCTATTCTGACCTTAACCCCACCTACATTTTAAATTTCGTGAGATGCGACCTGTAGAGTGATTACAAATTAACATGGACACACGGACGGATGGACATATATAGCTAGATCGACTCAGCTCGGCGAGATAGGAAAATCCATATATACTTTCCTATGTGGGAAACCAATATTTCGAGGTGTTACATAATTTTTGGCCCAATCAAACTAAAAATACCCCCAACACATAGTGATGTAGAGTATAAACATGGATTAAAACGACCTCTTTCGTGACTGAGGCTTATTTTTTTCAATCAAAGTATTCCTTGTATTTTATCTGGTATTTCAGGTTTATCGTGTTTTCGGCAATATACACGATATACCTGAAGTTAACGGATTCTAAGGAATCTTGATCCAAAAATTTTGAAAATGGGCAGGAAGGGGTATCTTGTCCCTTCTATTTAGTTTAGGCTGTGATTTAAAGTTCAAAACGTCGATACAATTATCTTCTATTTTTAGCTTCACCTTTATAATCTACTGAGTGCTTGCTGTATCGATTGCTCGTGTTATCTAACCCTTTAAACCCCAATAAGAAACAATTATTTTCACATATTCTCTTAAAAATATTCAAGTAAGTTTATTTGTATCTTCACATCTAATCGAAACGTTGCGACTTTGTATTCGATCTTATTCTATAAAAAAACGACGTTCTGGCGAAACAAGAAATGGCATCAAAATTTGATTAAAAGTAAAATTAAATCTACGATGACTTCGTTGTTGAGGCATCTCATTGACTAGCAACCCAGACTATCCCAAATGCTACCACTCTTCCAGGGTCCGGTACCGACTGATTGGCTCCATGAATTCGAATTCCAGGCACCGGCATCGGCATTGGGTGGTGGTGGTCCATAGGTGAGGGCGGGTGTGTGAGATTCGGCGGCATTTTCAACTACCAATTGGACAGTCTTAACGTTTTGTTGTTGTTGTACTGGAGCAGCTACAGTTTGGTATGAGGTTTGATATTGGTTCTGTTGATATTGAGCCTGAGATTGTACGGGGGCCTGGACACTGTAGGAAATGGGTCTTTGTACGGACACTTGATATTGAGGTAATTGTTGTGGTTGTGGTGGGGGAGGTAAATACTGTTGAGGTTGGGGTTGTGGTACAGTCACGTAAACTGGCTTTGGTGGTGGAGCAACAATAACTGGACGTGGTGGAGCAACAGGTTGGGGTTGGGGTTGAGGTTGTTGTACGGTTACATAAACTTGTCTGGGTGGCGAGACAACAACGGGGGCTGGGGCAGGCACTGCAACTGGAGCGGGTTGAGGGACGGCAACGGGAACTGCAACTGGTGCAGGAGCGGGGACTGGTGTCCAACCAGAAGATGCTGATGATGAGACAGATGCTGAAGCTGAGGCACCACTGTTGGAGTAGGCGGTGGGATAAACAGCAGGTTGTTCAATGACCTTAATAACCTTGATGACTTGAGTGTTGCCACCATAACCACCGCCATAGGTCTGTTGACCCCAGCCAGAGTTGGAGTTGCTGACAGTCCATACAGGGCGGTTATAGTTGAAGCCACTGGAACTGCTACCGTAGCTGGTGGCATAGTTTCCACCATAGCTGCCACCATAACCACTGCCATAACCACTGCCATAGCCGCTTCCATAGCCGCCACCATAACCACCTCCATAACCACTACCATAGCCGGCTCCATATCCACTGCCACCACCATAGTTGGCCTTGCCTCCAAAGCCACCAAGACCACCCACGCCGCCGCCGCCGACTCCTCCTCCACCACCCAAACTATTTTTCAGGGTACTCAACAAGGCCAATTTGGCACCCAAAAGGGCCTGTGAGGGTGCTGCCATTGCCAACATGGCAACCAAGATGCAAACGTAAACCTTCATTATATTCTCCTTTTTTCTGGATCGAAACCAAACGCGTAATCCCAACCACCGATCGTAGTCAACTGATAACTTGTTTCTTATCTACGCACAAATTTATACCCCTTGCTAATATTTGGCTTAGTTCAGTTCAGTTCAGTTCGCCTCATGCTGCCGCGCTGTCAAATAGTTGCGATCATCTCAAGAGCCAATAAATTTGCCCTGATGGCCAGACGGATGCTAACTAAGTCTTGGGCATGTTCTACCCCTCCTCCCTAGGCAAATTTCACACAAACACACAGCAATGGGTGGGGATAGAACACATCTACGGCGGCTGCCGACGTTGTCGACTGTGAAAAAAGACAACAATTTCTTATTTGTTTAATTAATAAATATTGTGTGTGTGTGTGAGTGTGTGCACTCCACCCATAAACCATCAGCATATCCAGCGAATTCATTTATTCACTCATTTGACCATTTGTCGATCTGGCTGGTTGTGTGTCAATCAAGCATGCCAAACTAACCAACATTGTCGTCTCTAGTCAAATAGGCATCAATTACGGTCCGAAGAAAAGATCACACATTTTCGTATTTTGCTGATTTATTTGGGATTTCTATTTGGGGTAACACAGGTTTACAATTTTGGTTGTTACGAAGTTAAGATTGGATTTGTTGTAAAAGTTTTAATTGAACTTCAAGGTGTGACCTTCGTAAATGGTAAATATTTTAGTCTCGATTCGGTCCAAACTTAGTACACCGCATTATTATTATGAAACTTAGAAGGAGTTCGTATATGGACAATACGGGTCTACTCCATCTGGTACCTACCACATAAAGACCCAAAATATTTACAAAAAATAATTGACGTCATACAACATATTTGTTTAAACTTTGCAAATCTTAATAATTGTGTCAGTGCTAGGTTAGGTGGGAAAAAGACCACTCCCACTGGTAGCCCCCCTACAAAGAGTTAACGTTTTGAATAATCATAATTCTTATAAAAATATATATATGAGGGGGAGGTACTAGAAGAAATTGTCCTATCTCTACCATCTTTATAGCAGATGTGGTGTTGATGGAAATATTGCGATTTACCAAGTATGAATAGAATCGGATGTTAATTTTGCGTTTTATGAGTTTCATAGATATTCAAAATGTTGACTCTTCATGGTTGAGGTGCCAGAAGGATTGGACCAATATATCCCATCTTCACAGCAGATCTTGAGTTAGTAAAAATAATGGAATGTGAGGAATATGAAGATAATCTGATGCTTATTCCGGATTTTATAATAGTTTTGGTTATTCAAAACTTTGACCCTTGGTGGGGGAGGTACCAGAAGAAATGGTCCGATTTTTACCATCTTCATAACGGATCTGGTATTGATAAAAATATTGAGATGTGCCAAAACTGACTGGAATCGGATGTTAATTTCTCGTTTTATGAGCTTCGTAGATATTCAAAATTGTGACTCTTTGTGGGGGTCCAAAAGGAGTGGATCGACATGTTCCATTTTCACACCAGACTTTGGGATGAAAAAAAATATTGTGATGTGCGTAACATGTGCCTCACATTTTATATAGTTTTAATTATTATAAATTTTAAGACTTTATGGCGGAGGTACTTGATTTTATGTACTGATATTATTCATTTTCGCACCTAAGTTGAAGCACAATCGGAGTATCCTCTCCGTTTCTGTGCAGTAAACTCTTTTTTTCAAAATTTCGATCAGACGGACGGACGTACTGAGGGTATAATTACAGTGTGAGTTAAAAAATCTGCAACAAAGTCAAACGCCATAATTTTCAAAATTTTATTGAATGAAACCAAAAAATTTCGGAAATAGAATCAAATTTCAGAATAAGTTTATATTTGTTCGAACTGGTTACCTTTGGTACGAATTATGGCCTTCAAACTGCCAATAAAACCGTCACACGCTGCCCAAATGTTGTTCAGCTGTATTTTGGCCCATTCGCGGCGAAGCGCTAGCGTGAGGTGATCGACACTTTGGTATTTTTTAGTGCCAACCTTGCTCTCCAAAATACTCCAGACACAATAGTCCAACGGATTGATATCTGGAGATGTTGATGGCTATTGTGCGCTGGAAATGAAGCGAGAAAACCTCATTTTGTAACCATTCTTGGGTGGCGCGTGCTGATTGCGATGGTGCTGAGTCCTGCTGGAATGTCCAAGGTCTGCGGCTTAGAAATGACAGCAGTCTGAAGTTGGTTGAAGTTTTTTGATCTCACCCTGTAGTGTGGATATATAATTAATCGCTTCCGGTATTTCCCTCACAAAAGGTAAACATAGTATGCGAAACTAGTCAGCGATTTGGCACATCTTAATATTATTATCAAACTTAGATCGAGTTCGGCGATGGGCAATATCGGTCCACTCCTTTTGGCACTTCCCCCACAAAAGGTCGAAATTTTTTCGAAAGGTTTACTCCTACTTTGCAAATCCTAATATTTGCATCATTGCTAGGTCAGCTGCGAAAAAGGACAATATCGGTACACTCTCTCAAGTAACTTCCCCACAAAGGATCAAAATTTTGAATAATTATAGAGCCCGATTGTCGTCAAATTATACACATCACAATATTTTTATTAATTAAAGGTTTTGTGAGAAGATGAAATATATCGGCCCACTCCTTCTGGTAACTCCACTACAAAGGGTCAAAAATTTATCCATATATCCATGAAGCTCATAAAACGCGAAACTAATATCCGACTCCATTCAGACTTAATAAATGTTAATATTTCTATCAACACAAGATATGTTATATAAATGGTAGCGAACGGACCATTTCTTCTGGTACCTCCCCCACAAAGGGTCAAAAATTTAAATAACCAAAACGATCATAAAATCCGTAATAAGTAACCGGTTCTCTTCATATTTCACACATCCCATTAACATAAGATCTGCTGTGAAGATGGGATACAGGGTCGGATGAAAAAACTACAACTAACTTCAGACTGCTGTCATTTTAAAGCCACTCGTCCGACAGCTGTTAAAATTATTCCAATGACAGCTGGATACTGGTAGCGTAGCCCGACGTCAAGGTAGTGGGCGGAAGAAACCAGCAACATCAGCAGAAATGGTTCGAAATTGATCGAAACCCTCGTCGCAGTGGCCGAAAATGGCTCGTGAGCTGAACATATCGCAATATTCCCTTCGGCAAATATTGAAAAAAGAGCTCGGCGTAAAGCCATTGAAATTCCAAAAAGTGCATGTCCTTACACCGCAACATTAAGAAAATAGACTCAAAGAGCTAAAGAGTTGCTTCGCTTGGCCGAACGTGGTGAACCGCCGAATTTGGTTTTCTCCGCTTCGATGAGAAAACATTCGTTGTCCTGCAGTTGGTAAACAAACAAAATGATCGTGTTTACTTGTCAAAGAGGTCAGCTGAAAATGTGCACCCTCTTTTGGCCACCAGAAGTCAAGCGCCGGTCATGGTGATGGTGTTGGCCGACATAACAGCCGATGGTCTCTCTCCGCTCGTATTAATCGACCGTGGCATCAGAATAAATGCCGAATATTATCGCGAAAATATTCTGGAGGGTGTATTAAAGCCTTGGACACGCAAACATTTTGACCGCAGACCTTGGACATTCCAACAGGACTCAGCACCATCGCACTCAGTATGCAACACCCAAAAATGGTTACAAAACAAGGTTCCTCGCTTCATTTTCAGCACAAAATAGCCACCAAAATCTCCGTATACCAATCCGTTGGACTATTGTGTCTGGAGTATTTTGGAAAGCAAGGTTGGCACTAAAAAATACCAAAATGTCGATCACCTCATGCAAGCGCTTCGCCGGGAATGGGCCAAAATACTGCAGAGAAACATTCGGGCAACGTGTGACGGTTTCATTGGCCGTTTGAAGGCCTTAATTCGTGCCAAAGGTGACCAATTCCAACAAATCTAAACTTATTCTAAAATTTGATACCATTTCCGACATTTTTGCTTTCATTCAGTTAAGCTTAAAAAAATGTTAAAATTATGGCGTTTGACTTTGTTGCAGTTTTCTTTTTATCTCACCCTGCATGTGGCCAAAGCCGGGCGGTACTTTGCACAGCGTGGACACATTTTCTAAGTTATTTGTCAATATTTCGACTATTGTGTCTGGAGTATTTGAAAAGCAAGGTTGGCACTAAAAAATACCAAAGTATCGATCACCTCATGCAAGCGCTTCGCCGGGAATGGACCAAAATACCGCAGAGCAACATTCGGGCAGCGTATGACGGTTTCATTGGCCGTTTGAAGGCCATAATTCGTGCCAAAAGTGACCAATTCGAACAAATCTAAACTTATCAGAAGATATGAACCCATATTGTTCATATTGTTGTTATTCATAAAAAAATTACTTTGTCCAAATTGGATACTCTTTTCCGACGTTCGTGCCCAGAATGCATTTTTGGCGTACAATTGATACATTTGAATGGAGTATAAACAAGTAAAAAACATTAAGTTCGGCCGGGCCAAACTTTTAATACCCTCCACCTTAGGGGAAAAGAAACATTAGAAGAAATGTGGCAAAAACCATTAAATTACCGAATATCGGGAGGTACCGTTATATGGGGGCTATACTAAAACGTGGACCTATAATTACAATGTTTCGCTAGACGAAATAGGACCAAGTATGACCCACAAATACCAATTTTTAGACAAATCCGTGAAACAATGTGGCAAAAAAAACTAAAATACCGAATATCGGGAGGTACCTTTATATGGGGGCTATACCACAACGTGGACCTATACATGCAATGTTTTGCCACACGCTCAGGGACCCGTTATGACCTACAAATACCAATTTCCAGACAAATCCGTGAAAAAATGTGGCATAAATCATCAAAATACCGAATATCGGGAGGTACCGTTATATGGGGACTATACCAGAACGTGGACCGATATATCTCATTTTCAATACCAACCATCCTAGACACAATGCAAATAACTCTGCTAAATTTTGACGCTCTACGTCAAATAATGTGGGCTGTATCGTGATTTCAACAGACAGACAGACGGACAGACAGACAGACGGACATCGTTAAATCGACTTAGAATTTTATGCTGATTATGAATATATATACTTTATGGGG